CTGTCACTCTTTTTTTTTTTTTTTTTCCACTGTCACTCTTTACAGGAGTAGATGCCCCATCATTCTCCTGTTATCCTGCACACAGCCCAGCTTTTCAGATGATTGCCCAGCACATGCATATCCTGATTTCAAACCCCGCCCCTTGTCTTGGTACGACTGCCTCTTGATCTGTGTACAGGTTCACATGGGCACAATTCAGCGTTCTTCATGGAGTGGGGTGGGCAAGATGCCATGGGTCTGTGAGGCGAGGTCAGGTCCCCAGCTCGATCACATCCCGGCTTCCTGCACCTGGTCCAGGGGCTGAAGGATGTAGGGGTCAGAGACCAAATGTGGAGATGGGGTAAGCAGAATTGTGTTTGCTCGTCATGATTCTCTTGACACAAAGAAAATTTCCCCCTTAACTGTTCACTTTTTCAGATTTCTGTATACCACCGCCACGCTCATCATAGCCTTCATTTCTGCAGGTGAGTGGTGCCAGCCAGAACTGGGGTTTGGGGTGGAGGGGGAGGTCGGGGTGGAAGGGGCTCTGGAGCACCTGGTGGTGGGGGGGCGGGCGAGTGCAGGTGGTGGGCAGAAACACTGCCCCACTGTGGTGATTCAGAGAATTGCTTGCTTTGGCCCGAGTGGGAAAGAATCCTTGAGAGCTGCAATTGTCTGCATCAGGTGGGAAATTCGGACAGTGAAGGAGAGTCTCTTCAGAGAGCGGAATGGATTCCAAAGATTGGGCCCTCCCTTTCGTATGTGTGGGTGTTCTCTCTCGCTCCAAACTTTTAAAAAGAAATAATTATGTGAATGAAAGTTGCTTTTGAAAAGTCTCTCCTTAGCAGGTGAAAGTTGACAGCAGTATTGTCAGAAATTTTCCTTTTAAGTTCACTAGTCTGTAAAACCCGAGGGCGCTGTGGGGGCTGGGTGGTAGAAGGCTCACCTTGCTAGATGATGAACCTGGAGTGTGTGCGGCTGCCCTGGGGCACGCTGGCTGTCAGTGTTGCTGTGACTGAACAGGTCTCAGCTGAGCTTTCTGACTAAGACTAGCAAGAAAGACCTGGTGGTCTACACCTGAAAATCAGCCAAGGAAAAACCCAGTGGTCCAACTCACTGCTCATGGGGCTGGTGCAGGATCAGGTAACTTTTAGTCCATTCCCTTTATTCCATCTTTCTTGGCATTGCCCGGAGTTGGGGGCTGACTCTTTATAGGAGCTGAAATCAGAAAACTTCCCAGAGTAGTCTGGGAGTTCCAGTCTGGCTTGCTCCCAATCCCTCCCCATTGGGTCCAGTTCTCCAAACTCATTGCCATTGAGTTAATGCTGGCTCACAGGGACCCTGTAGGGCAGAATACAACTACCCCGGTGGGTTTCTGAGACCTTTACTCTGTAGGAGTAGAAAGCCTCATCTTTTTCCTGAGAAGTCGATAGTGGTTTCAAACTGCTGACCTATCCACCCTGCCACAGGGCTCCTCCTTTGGGTAGAAGAGGAAATAGAGGCCAGAGAAGGACCTGTTGTTTGAGATGCCAGAGAAAGTTAGTGCGAAGGGCTGGGGACTCGATCTCCCACCCTCTGGATGTGCTCTTTCCTAGTTGCTTGGGTTATGCTGGCCCGAGGTCCCTTCCCCTCTTCCGCTGCCCTCCTGTCAGACCACGGCCCTTCATTTTGGGGTCAGAACAGTAAAGTCTATAACTAGTGTGGGGGGGTTCCTATCCTGAAGGCAAACACTGTCAGACGGTCTCCTCTCCTTGCCCTTGGCAAACCCAGACGCGGCATGTCTTCGAGCAGCTCTCCTGAGAGAGCCCGGCACCTCCAGTGCATTATCTGCGACCACTCTCCGCATCAAAGCGTCTCCCTGGCATCTAAAAGCCTGTAAACAGCTTCTTAGTGGCTGTGGTGAAGGTGGTGGCACCTGCATTTGTGAACCTCTTGAGCAGTAGTAACACACACTCTGCACCGCCCCCCCCCTCCCCTGAGAAAATGGAGGCCCTGAGTACAGGTGAATGAGCTCACTCGGTTATCTCTAGAGGAACTGGGGGTTCAAGTCCACACACAGGCCCTCATTAGGAAGACCTGGTGAGTCTCTGAGACACCAGCCCCTGAAAATCCCAGGGAGCACAGTTTGATTCCCACACACGTTGGGGGCGCTGTGAATCTCAGTCTACTCAGTGGCAGCCAGACCCCAATAAGACTGGTGTAGGGCTGTGAGACCACAATGAGCCTATTGCAGTGGGAAGCTCAAGCGACCTTTAGTGGACACATTTTTAAAGACAAAACATCGAATTGGGCTCAGTGAAACTAGTCTAACATCCGTACCTGACAGGGCTTCTGGAGGTGGTCAGCCGTAGCTCCTTCAGTGGATCGGAGTGGGCACGAGAGTTGATATGTTCACAGTCGTTGCTCCCAACCCCCTCACCTCCCACCCCCTCACCACCCCCTCCACGGCAAGGGCAGGTCTCAGGCTTCAAGCTTTCTTTGGGCCTGGGGAAGTTTGGCTTCAATTGGCTAATGTTGTTTCCCTTTCATTGCGTTTTCTCTTCTGTTCCTTCCAAGCATCACAAGGGCTCTCATTTACAGTAGTGACACAAAGTTTCCTATAAAGAGTGATTTCTTTAGGGTGGGGCACGGGGGAGGGGAGACCATTTAGAAGACCGTTTTGGTGCGGTGGATGGGTGTGTGCCCTGGGGCCCAAGTCATAAAGGTAGTGGCAGAAGTTTGTGGTTTGGGACAGACAAGTTCACGGAAGGTTCTCCGTCTCCCAGTACTGCTGCAGCCAACACATCTCAGGTCTCAAAAGGATTTGTTTGCTGGCTGCGTCTCCCAGGGCAGGGATGTGTTCCACTCACCCTGCATCTCCAGTGCCTGGCATGGAAGTAGTGCTCAAAACACCATGGACAGAGGAGGAGAATCCACTGCTGTGGGTGCACTTTTGACTTTGAACCCACCCAAGGGCTCTGCACTGAGGGGAGGGGGAGGCCTGCCCGTTTATTCTGTAAAGGTGACAGTCAGCCCAGGGAGGGCAGTTCTATTGTGTCTGTAACACACAGCGCCGCCACTAGTCGGATTGGACTCCACAGCAGCGGCTTTGGCTCTGTGGGAGTCTCTGGCTCAGTTCTGGAATGGGGACCCAGATGCCAGGGATTCCTGGAGGGAAGGGGGTCACGTGTCGGAGTTTGGGGCTCCATGCTGGGTGACGCACAACGACCCTTCCTCACCTCCCTCTCTGATGGTTTCAGACTCGGCTATGCTGCTGTTCCTGGCCATGCCCATGCTAACCGTGGGTGGGATCCTGTTTCTGATCACCAATCTGCAGGTGCGAGCCCGAGCCTACCTCACACCAGGCACCTGGGCTTGGGGTGGAGGGGGTGGGGGAGAGCAGAGGGGAATGGAAGGGAGAAGCAGCTTTCCTATGATTGGCTGCCCCAGGCGGGCCTTGCCCAAACCAGGGTGGTAAGTCTTGCGGCAGAGGGTGGGTGTGGGCATTGTGAGGATGTAGAAGTGACTCGGGCTGGTCACGTGTCCTCCAGGTTGGGAACCTGTTTGGCAAACATCGCTCGACCATCATCACTCTCTACAACGGGGCATTTGACTCCTCCTCAGCTGTCTTCCTCATCATCAAGGTAAAAACTAGCCTGTCCACCTGCCTGATCGGTGTGTTCTTTCCACCGGCTGACCCTGAGGCCCTGTTTGATAGCTGCGGTACAGAGGGAGTGCTGAGGTTCGCCTGAGGCTTGCTCAGGGCCCAGCCACAGCTAGCAAGCATTGTGCTGGCACCCGAACCCGGCCCTGTCTGGCTCTCAAGTTGGAGCTCATAACCCTTAAGCTCCGTCTTCACACTTCCTTAGGATTGGGGGGGGTGGGGCAGAGGCTAAAGGAAAGCATGGCCAATGCCCTCTAGTAGACCCCCTTTGGGATGGGTGGCCGATGCTGTGAGCTTCTGGCGTGGACATGGCGGTGGAAGGTTGCTGGTTGGGGCAGCAGGGGCAGAGGCAGGGGGCCCAATTGATGCTAATGATACTATACCTCTCCCCCCCAGCCCCCCAACAGCCATTTCACCATCTTCAGTGCTAACAGCCAAGTGCCAACCCTGGGGGTGGATCCTGCCTGATCCAACCCACCTGTGACCATCTGACTTCTTGTCGGTGATGAGTCGAGGCGGGCGTGAGACCTAGTCCTGGTTACTGAAAGGAAGGGGGTGTGGCCAGAGGACTTGAGGCGGGTGTCATCCTCCCTGATCAAAGGAGGGAGTGAAGACAAAGGAAGCCCGAGCTCTTGGTGCCCCTTCTGACCTCTCCTCTTTGAAGGCTGCTAGAGGAGGTGGAAGAGCCGGGCTTGTGGCAGCCCTGTGGTGACATAGAGGCAGTTAGTTGGAGGACCAGGAGCCCTGGTAGTGTGGTGTTTACGGGTTGGGTTGTAATCCGCAAGGTCCACAGTTCGAAGCTACCAACTGCACGGAGGGAGCGGGACAGGGCTTTCTACTCCCGTCATGAGTTCCAGGCTCGGAAACCCACAGGGGCAGTTCCACCCTCTCCTCCAGGGTCGCGCGAGTCGGCATCCACTCGACGGCAGTGCATTTGAGTTTTGAGGAGGCTGGAGGACCAAAGCTAACACTTTAAAGGTGACAGAAAGGAAGGACTGAACAAGCGTGGGTTCTTGACCCCCAAGCTGCCCTGTCTGGGACAGCCCCCTGGGCTGTGTGTTAGGCCAGGGACAGCTGACACAGTGTGGGCCATGGCAGAGAGGGAAGTCACTAGCCTGACGTGTGTCTAGTTTGGACTCATGAGTACTCTAGCTTGGTGACATCCAGGGTCAATGCCTCAAGCCTTCTACTCCTGGTGCTGGGGTCCCCTTCCAGGTTCCCCTCCTGCCCCTGGGTACCAACCCCCAACCCCCAGCAGGTGCTGGAGTTCTTTGTTTAATCAGCCCTGTGTCTGCTGCGCTGACCTTGGGTCGCTCACTACACTCCCTGGCCCTCCGTGTCACCGTCTGCGTGAGGATATTGGGCCGCCTCAGGGATTCCAAATTCAGCCCTGTGGGATGCTTGGGTGTCTCTCAGATGTCTGTGTGGGTCACCAGTAGGGGCGGGGGCAGGGGCACCCCGGGAAGCTCCCTATCACCGTGACCTAGGTTGAATTTGTGTGCATGATTGTGTTTGGACAAAAAGACTTCGCTGCCATTGAAGAAGAGGCCCAGGGCTGGATGTCGCCTGGGGAGCCATGCTCAGAGGCTGCCCAGGGCGTGAGGTGGGCATCGAGGTGCCTGCCCCACCATTGGCAGGGCCCTCAGCTGAGGGTGAAGGGGAGTGTGTGTGCCGGGTGGCCTTCATCAGCTGGCAGCCTGGTGGGCCGGAGTCTGTGTCAGGTTTGCCCTTCGGAGTGGGGCTCCAGTCCCTGCCTCTGATGCCCACACATCCCCCCACTCTCTCCACAGCTCCTGGACGAGAAAGGTGTCTCCCTCAGGGCCTCCTTCCTCTTCCTCTCCTTCTGCAGCATCTGGCATGTCGCACGCACGTTCCTCCTGATGCCTAGGGGCCACATCCCCTACCCACTGCCCCCCGGCTACCGCTATGGGTAAGGACTGGGCTCTGGTGAGTGCGGGCAAAGCGCTGAGACTGGCCTGGGGCTGGAAGCAGGGGTGGGATGGATGTGGTGTCAAGGGACAGGAGCCATGTCACAGGACAGGAGCTATAGCGGTTATTGCTGGATATCAGACTTCCCAAACCTACACCAAACTTCCTATCCTCAAGTTGATGCCGATTCATAATGACCCTACAGGACAGGGTAGACACTGCCAGTTTCTGAAACTGTCATTCTTTATTACGGGCATAGAAAGACCTCTATGGTAAGGTGATCAGATTTTAACATTGGTAAAGCGGGACACCATTGATAAAACTCGTATCCTGGTGAAATAGCCACATGGCAGCTGAAAACTGTATACCCTAGCTTGTCGTGAATTCTTTCCAAAAATCAGGACTTTTAAAAAACGCCGCGGGACGTGGGAAAAATTGTTAAAAATCGGGACTGTTCCGCCAAAAGCGGGATGTCTGGTCACCTTACTCTATGGGCTGGTGGTTGTAAATGCTGGCCTTGCCACTAACAGCCCACCCAGAGCCACTACGCCAGCAGGGCTGGCTCCACAGTGCCTGGAAATACAGCACAGCACTTACTGCTTTTCATGAGGAGTCGCTGGGTGGCACTTGACTAAATTGGAAGGTTGGTGGTTCATGCCCACCCAGAGGCACTGGGGCAGAGAGGCCTGGCAATCTGGCCTGCTGCTAGATCACAGCCTTGAGACCCCGTGGGTGCCGCTTCCCCTGCGAGCTCGGGCCGCCAGGAGTCGCAATCAACACACAGCAGCTGGTTTGGCTGTTATGGTTCCTCCGGCTTTGGCCTGTGGTCAAGGTGTGCTGGTCAGGGCCGGAGGGAGATGATCTCGGCAGGGCTTGACCTTGCGTCTGTGGTCCTCTGGAGGGTCAGCGGGGTCTGTTCTAGCGTGGGAGGGAGTCATTCATGAGGCTTGTCCAGATTGGGTGACAGGTAGCTGGGTAGGATGGCTTGGGCTTATTCACATGTTGGTTACGGGACCTGAAGGGAGTGAAGGGACAGGCAGGGTTCTCTGAGGGCCCAGCCAGGAGTCAGCACAGTGTTGCCGCCACTGCTGCATCCATTGGTCGGTCTGAAGATGTTCCTGAGGGCCCTGGGATCCAGGTCTTCCCGGGTGCCCTCAGTGGGAAGACCTGTGGTTCCCTTTGCAGAGGGTGGCGATACCGGGGCATGAAGAGTGGTGACCGCCTTTGCAGGGAGTGACCAGGAGGAGCAGAGGGAGGGCAAGCATAGGTCAATGGCTCTCCCACAACCCCCTATCAGCCCTCAGAGATCCTCCCACTGCTGCCCTGTCCTCTCAGCCTCCCAGTGCCTCCTCCCCTCCCCTCCAGGACAGAAGAGATGGCCCACAGGGCTTCCAAGGCTGTGAATCTTTACCACAGCAGAAAGCTTTAATTTTCCCCCTCGGAGCAGCTGGTGGTTTCAACAGCTGACCTTTTAGTTAGCAGCCCACCTGGTCACCCACTAGGCCACTAGGGCTCCTTAGAAGAGCAGAGAGCTTCATTTTTCTCCTGAGTTGAAGCGGGCTGTGGGTTTGAACTGACAACCTTTCAGTTCGCAGACCAATGTTTAACCCACTAGGGCTCTTTTATCCCCTTGAATCAAAACACAAAAATAAACTCACTCCCATCCATCGAGTTGATTCTGACTCATAGCGACCCTATAGGCTGGAATAAAACCCTCTGTGGGTTTCTGAGGCTGTAATTACTGGAGCAGAAAGCCTCGTCTTTCTCCCAAAGATTAGCTAGTGCTTTTGAACTGCTGATTTTAAGATTAGCAGCACAAGGTGTAATCCACTGCACAGGATATCCTAATTTCCATTTTTCCAAAAGGGAGAAACGGGCACTTGAGTCGGAGCCGTATTCCTACAGCTGGGATTCCACCCTGGCCCTTTGGACTCTTTTGACCCTTCCGGCACTTCCTGTACTCTGCACAGCAGAGCGAAGTGAGACCTGGCCCTGTGCCATCCTCACAAGCCACTGCAGCTCTGATCATTGTGATCGATAGGGTTTTCACTGGCTGATTTTCAGAGATAGATTGCCAGGCCTTTCTTCCGAGTCTGGAAGCCCCGCTGAAATGCTCCTCATAACACACAAGGAAACCTCCACTGACCTCTTGTGGCTGCACTGGAGGCGCATTGGCAGGAGTTGAACGTGGGTCTTGGGCATGATAGGCAAGAATTCTACCACCGAACCAACAAAGCCGCCTTGACAGCTTTAAAACATACGGAAGGCTGGTTCCCACCCCCCAGTCCTTCTGATTTCAATTGGCCTGGGTTGCAACCAACACTCACAACACAGACATACAGAGAAAGAGATGTGTGTGTGTGTGTGTGTGAGAGAGAGAGAGAGAGAGAGAGCAAGAGCAGTACACATATACACCCCCACCGGTTCCCATGTGATCCTTTGCACTGCCCCTCCCCACCCCCACCCCCTGAGTCTTGGGCTCAGTTCACATTCCTGGGGCCGGGTTGGTGGGACTTTTGTCTCCGTAGCTTGGGCTCTGGATGTGGCGCCAAGGAGAAGGAAATAGTTGAGTCCAGGAAGACGGAGCAGCAGTCCAAGGAGCTTCTGTCCTTGAAGGATGGTGAGCTCAGCCTAGCCGCCCATTTCCCCTCCGAGCTGCTAGGGGACTTGGTATCAGAGCAAGGCAGGCCGAGAAAGGACCTTGGGGTCATCTGGTCAACCTCCTCACCTAGGCAGGGACACTGGAGCCAAGCTCTCAGCTACTCTCTGTCCCATCTCCTGGCTCCTCTGACACCTCCCCCACCCCCACCCCCCTCACTGCCCAAGTTTGCTTTCCAACGCTTGCCTCCCGGCCCACCCTCTTCCTGTGCTTCCACTGCATTAAGTCTGGCTCATGCGTCCCAGTTCTGAGGTCGCTTCAGACTTGAACTCACCACTAGGGAGTCAATTCCGATTCATGGTGACCCTACGGGACAACTGCCCCTGTGGGTTTCCGAGACTGTCCCTCTTTACTGGAGTAGAAAGCCACCGCCTCCTCCTCCTGGAGCAACTGGTGGTTTCGAACTGCTGACCTTGCTGTTAGCAGCCCAGTGTGTAACCACTATGCCACCGGAGGGCTCTGTAGGTACCATGTTATTTATAAATCGGAGGCTTGTGGCAACCCTGCATTGAGCAAGTCTGTCGGCACCATTTTCCCAGTGGCACATGCTGACTTCATGTCTGCGTCACTCCTTGGCCATGCAAGCCACGTGTCCAGCGTATTCCTGGCACTGTTGCAGGAGTACCAGACGACAGCAGAGTGTAAACGTGTGTGCGCTGGGAAATCAAAGACTCCGAGTCACTGGCTTTACAGCAACATTGGGTTTGTGGCACCGAGGTCTGCCCCTATCTTTGGATACAGGTGTGAAAGATCAGACTTTCAGCAGGTAGAGAAGGGGGTGGCTGGGGTCATTCAAGGGGCTGAGGACAAAGGCTGGGCAGGGACAGGACAGCTGGGGGACCATGCCATTGAGTTGTGGTAGAGGCTGCAAGACAGGCTTGGTGCTCAGTCCATCCTGCTAAATCAAGCCCCACCCTCTGCCCCTCACTGTCCTCAGAGGACCCCGGGCTGGGCCAGCGGCAGGAGCCTCGCACCTTCTGGTACTATGCCTTCTCTTGGCGTTTTGCCTGGCACCTGGTGTGGCTGTCGGTGATACAGCTGTGGCACTACTTCTTCATCGGCACGCTCAACTCCCTGCTGACCAAGCTGGCCGATAAGGATGGGAAGCTAGGTATGTAGTGGGGCACAGAGATTGGGCTCTGAGCCCGGCAGGATGGGGCCCAGGCAGGGCCTGGTAGCCTGGGGGAGTCCTCTGGAAGTTGTCTGCTCATCCCTATCCCCCTTGCTCTCTGCCCCCACAGTCAGCACCTACACCAACGCCTTTGCCATCACTCAGTTCTTTGGGGTGCTGTGTGCCCCCTGGAATGGCCTGCTCATGGACCGGCTCAAGCAGAAGTACCAGAAGGAAGCAAGGACAGGTGCGACCCGGGACTCCAGACATTGGGGACAGCCATGGGGAGGTGGTCCCTTTCCTCCCCACCTGCCTTGTTCTTGCCTGTGTTCATCTAGCCAGAAGCTGTTGTGGTCAGCTGTGACCCCATCCCCCTCAACTCATGGCAATGGAAGGAATGCCACCCTGCCCAGAGCCACCCCCCAGGGGCTGCCGACCAGGTGGCTGTGATCTGCAAGGCGATCCTTGCCTGGTTCTTGGAAGTCGACTGCCATAGTTGGGAAGCCCCACATTTTGTTCAGCATTCTCCTGGGTTGTACTGGGTGTCCCCATGAGTTGAGGGCTGGCTTGCTGGCAACTACCACCACTACCACCACCTACAACCCAATGTCATGATCAACCTCTCAAAAAGTAACAGTAAATTCTTAACAGCGTCCGATTGATAATCACCCCTCAAAGGCCCCACCAACAAACTAAAGCCGACTAAACTAAAAGCCAACAAACTAAAATCCACTGCTATCCAGTCGATTCTGAGTCATCGTGACCCTCTATCAGGTTTCTGGGGCTGTGCAGCTTTACAGGAGCAGGCAGCCTCCTCTTCCTCCCAGCGACTGGTGGCTTCCAGCTGCCCACCTAGCAGTTAAGTCCAGAGTTTGCCCCACAGTGCCACCTGGTGGTACTTGTCTCAAGAAATCCCCCTTCAGTCCCCCCCCCCCCTCGTCCGCCAACCCATCCACCCAGTCTGTGGCTCTCATGCCTTTGATCCCTAGCGGCCTCCCTCCATTCTCTTGGTCAGTTAAATGTTGAGGAAGCTGGGCCCTTGGGTTGGTCCCATTGAATTTGTCATCCTCCCCATCGGGAGGGATCTGGCAGTCCTCTTGAGAACTTCTTTGATTGTTTCCTGTAAACAGGCAGATGAGCTGCTTCAGGGGGAATCTGTATCACTCCCCACCCCCTCCCTGCAAGTAAATGGAGCTGTGGGCCGCTGATGTGTCCCACCAGGCCCCCGGTATCTTTTGCTTTGCTTCTTACTCTGTGGGGATTGATTGATGGGCGGGTCCAGCTATGGCCAGCTCCAGCCATCCGTTAGTTTCCCATCAGCTGTCTGCCTATTGATGTCAGCAGCCACGGATGATCAATGCCGGGAGACGCCTTTCACTAAGGTGGCAGAGTGGCGAGGTTTGATTCCCGGCTTCCTTTCGGCCCTGAGTGGTTAGAAGAACAGCCCCTCATTGACTGGACCCGCTGAAATCCAGGTGGTACTGGAAAGGTGGGCAGAATGAATGCTCTGCGTCTCCCCCCCCCTGCTCCTGGGGTGCCGGCCAGCTACATCTCTGGAAGTCTCGCTCGCTTTTAATGTAACTGACAGATTTCAAGCCACCCCTGGCCACTGGGCCTGCATCGATCTGGCTTCTCTGTCCCCGGCACGGAATCCCATTCGTCCCGACTTTCCTGGTTCGGTTCAGGAAGATTGGAGCATGGCTGTCGGGCATCTGCTTCCCCAGGTTTCTGCCCTGCTGGTCCTCCGTCATGCTCGCCCCTAACAGCCTCTCCTCTCGCCCTGGAACAGGTTCCTCGGCCTCCGTGGTGGCCCTCTGCTCGACAGTGCCCTCGCTGGCCCTGACGGCCCTGCTATGCCTGGCCTTTGCCCTCTGTGCCTCGGTCCCCCTCCTCCCCCTCCAGTACCTCACGTTCATCCTGCAGGTGATCAGCCGGTCCTTCCTCTATGGGGGCAACGCAGCATTCCTCACTCTCGCGTAAGTGCCGTGACAGACACGCTGTGGGAGGGGCGTGCGCTGGAGGTGGCGCAAATGGGAGGTGCAGGTAGGCGTGGAGGCGGTCAGGTGAGGGAGACAGAGAAGTGGCGGCAGGTCTAGAGGAGGGAGGATGCCTGCAGGTGGAGGAGAGCGGGAAGCAGAGTGCTCACGTCCTCGAGCCTTTGCCTCCGCCATCCCACTGGCTTCTTGCTATCTGCCAGGGAACTCCTGTTCACCCTCCAAAGCCCCGTGCCACTTCTGCTCCAGCCTCGCTGATAAGCGTTGGAAAGCTGGTTTCTTGCCATCTTTCTCTTCTTGCTCCCCTCGCTGTGGGGCACACACTGGCAGGCGTGTCCTGCTGTGTGCCTTTCCCTTCTGTGGATGGCTCCCTGGGGCTCAGCGAGTCCCTTCTGTCTCCCCAGGGCTCCGCACAGTGCCTTCGCCGGGTTCTGTGATTCCAGGGCCCAGGCCGAGGAGGGGGTGGGGGCGTGAGGACTTTGGGGGTGTAGGGGGGAGGCCTGGATCGGGAGGTTGAAGCATGAGCGGGCGGCCCTTGATGACGCTCACTGGAAGCCCTGGCGATCTCCCTCTAGTTTTCCTTCTGAGCACTTTGGGAAGCTCTATGGGCTGGTGATGGCTTTGTCGGCCATTGTGTCGCTCCTCCAGTTCCCCCTCTTCGCTCTCGTCAAAGGACCCCTTGGGGACGATCCGCTTTATGTGAGTACCCGAGCCGGCCTCTGGGGTGGCGGTGGGGGAGTGTTAAGCCAGCTAGGACCACCTAGGAGCATTTCCAAGGGGCCCCATGAGGAGGCGCCCAAAGACCTGGTTGAGCTGGCCTGGCGGGGTTCCCCATAGGAACTTCCGCCTGTGCAGGCAGCTCCTTGGTCTTGTTCCTTAAGTGTCGTGGGGCTGGGAGGTGGTGAGGGGTGTCAGTGCGAGTAGCCTGCTGCTCCCTGAGTCCACCCAAAGCCACGGGATTCACAGGACACTGCTCCCACGGGAAGCCCCCCCTCCCCTCCCCCCGGGCGCTGTTTCCTGACACGCAGGAGTGCGTGCTGACTTGGCAGCCCCTTGGCCGGCTTTGGCTTTGGCTGACTGGGATCAACCACAGGGCGCACCAGGCCCCAGGCAGAAGCAAAGCAGCGACCGAGCAGGCCAGAGGATTCTGGTGGGAGAGCCCTCACCTGGTGCTGCCCACTCTTGGACTCACCCACCTCGCCCTCCGTTCCTTCCCCCAGGTGAACGTGACCCTGCTGTTGGTCACCCTGCTGACGTTCTTCCACCCCTTCCTGGTGTACCGGGAGTGCCGCGCTCGGAGAGAAGGCCCCTTTGCAGCCTCCTAGCCCACAGCCCCCCC